CTAGTTCTCTAATTGTTACGGGGAAGTTTGGAAAGTATTCACTTTGGCAAGAAGTTCCGAGCAAATTGATATTGCACGTGTTCAGAGGAGGAAAATACGAGGCGAATTTCTATCGCGATCGAGCCACGATGATTCATCTTTTCCAGTTACCCCGGTAAGAACGTAAAAATTTAGAAAAAGGCGTTTTGTGCAACACTCTCGTTCACAATTATAATGTATTAAACTGTGGAAGGAAAGGATTCGTAGGTAACAAGGAAGAAAAGCGGAGAGATTTTGTACTTTGCTCCAAGTAGACGTGAATGAATAGAATTAATTCTATATAGTTTAGTAAAAAATAAAGATAATTTAATTTTACGCGTACGTTAAAAAAGATCTTTGCGAATAGTGATATCATAACGTAATTATCAAACAAAATGATAATCTCACGCGTTAAGATGTTTATCATTGACAGATCGAAGGATCTGTGATTAATTGTATCAGCCACTGTTCATGCGGCCATCGAATTTAATTGTCGATGATATATGGTATAAAAATGTTTTAACAAATCGTTAATTTATCTCGATGTCGTGAGTTCTATAATTACGTCTTATATAATTTGAATGGCAAGATTAATCGGCGAAGGTAGAATTTTCAGTAAGCAGAGAGAATTGGAACAATGGAGGATCGCTTTAATCCCTCTGACTCGTAATCTGTGGCTACCGACCGATTTTATCTGAAGAGAACGAATTGCTTAATTTCTCGATGCACTGAACTTCCTCAACGGCTCGGTTTCTTCGCTGTGACCGGTGTTGCTGAACCGTTAATCACGAAATTAAATTTTTCGCGATCTACACGTATATTTTCTATGTGGAAAACTCGGGCGTTGTATTTCGAATTTCTGCTCGCTCGACGGAGCGTGAATTTCTTTCTTGTGCGTTTCTTTTCGCGTTTTATCTTTACAATGTTAATTAACACGTTGACTGCAATGTTGCGCATATTTTAATGCTAGTAAGTTTTTTTCGGAGTTACGCCTTATCGAACGTGTTCCGTTTCCATTCTTAAGAAATTAAGAAATTTCTTGTATTCTTAAAGTGAACAAAGCATTTTGTTGTTAGAAAAAAAATTGCCTTATTATTAGCTGTCATAGAAGAGTTAACGGTTTTATAAATTTTATTTATTTGCGAGATATTTATTTTCCACAATTATAATTTAACAAATTAATTATTTAATTAATAAATCGCCTGGTGCATCATATTCCATGGATTATGAATAGCGACAATTAGTATTCAATAATTATGTAAACGATCCAATTTATAGAGAATTATGTATTTTTGTGAGATATCGAGAGAATAAATTAAACGTTTAATGAAACGTAACTGCCCAAGAGATCGTGTTACGTTAGCCCCGCTCATTAGCAAGCGATTGAACTCGATTCATTCGATCTCCACTAATGTACAATTCATTTTCGACGTCGATTTGCTCGAGCTCTAGTATTTATAAATCAAAAAAAAATCGCTTCTCTTTGGATATCGAGATAAGGAAATGAAAGAAATTTTTTTCTTTGAATAATTAAAAATTTATCCTAAAAATTGACGCATATATTTGAATTTTAATCGTAATGTAAATTTTCTACGTTCTCCATATCAGCTGACAGTTGTTATGTAACTTGTAGCTTGAATCGATTAAAAAGAATACCTTGGAATATTCCATCAAAAGATTACGATATTTTCTTTCATTCTCAATTGTGTTCGGAAAAGAAGAAAATGGAGAAAAATCGAAAGATAATAAGTTTAGTGTAATTTTGCAGAATAATTATTGTTTCTGCAATATCGTTTCAGAAATAATATCTTCACGAAAAACGGTAAAAATTTTTAGCCAACAGCGGACCGAAATGATCGTCCAGAGAATATAACGCGGATCATTATACCTTCTAGATTTTGCAATCACTCCAATTAACATCCGCACGCAGGGTTGTCTTTCCGTTTTTGCGATGGTGTGTGTTCGGAAACAACGAGTGCGGAGCGTGGAAATTGCGTAAAAGTCCGAGTGGCGAGTGGCAAGATGGCCGAACGTTCCCGCGTGATTGCCAACGGATCGGTAAAAAATATTTTCCACAGTCGACTAACCTATGGAAATCTGGAAAGATTCACACGAAAAATTCGCTTCGTTTCCCTCGAGTTCGTGGAAACAAAGGGACGATCTGGGAACGGTAACCTAACTTGGAAACGTAATGAAAAGACGAGGATATTTTAAACGTGCGTCGCTTTAACCCGTATCTCGCATATCTTCGTTAGAGTTGCAATATTGTTGGATATCATTCCATTCTTGCAATTTTGTTGCATCTATAGTTATATATCCGAGTCTAAGATTCGATTCCGATTAGCGCTGTTTATATTCAATGAGCTATTGTACGAAGCAAAATATATAGCTTGAGAATCTTATATAAGACTGGGAAATTTTGTTATCAGTATATAGAACGAAGAACAATAATTGTTGATCGTGATGAATTACACAATCGTTCTTTTTTTTCGCTCTTTTTTTATTTGCAAAAATTAAGATCGTCCGTTTTAAGATTAGATCTCGTTTCTCTTTTATCCCTGAATGTACGACTTGTCTAATTAATCGCGGAGAATTTTTTTTCAATTTAAAATCTATCGGAAATCTTCAGGACAGATCGACGGGTCAAAAGCGTCGTTACCAGAATGGCGAAAGATTGGCCAACCGTCCGGCGCGCTCCCATGTAAAGGGCGGCAAGTTTTCTCGAAAAGGAAATCGAGCAGGCCAAAGGTATCGAGAAAAGTTGCTTTAGAGAAACCGTGCCAAGGTGGAAACTTCGCGCGGATCGTTGCAACCTTCGTGTGTCTGAAGATCACGCGCGAAAGAAATATTTTTCTAAGATAGAAGATTATCTTGCTCTTTTTTTTTTTTTTTTTTTTTTGTTTGTCGTTTCGAAAACAACTATGGAATCGACAAGCGTGACAATTAGCGATCAGTATCGTTTAATTAACAAGTTTCGTATCGCGAGGAAATTATAGGAGTTTCTCTGCTTGGAAAAATTGAAAACTTTAATTCTAGATGGTGGAAAATGTTTTACAGTGGAAAATGGAAGGATTCGAACAATATGAATGCACAATCGAGAATTAGATATACTTACGAGTTTACTCGGATTCCAGTGGCTCGTTACGTTACAGAAAGTTGGCGTTTACTACGCTTACGAAATTGGCGAGTCGTAAAATCCAGTCTATTAGCGACGCGAGGAATAATTGGGATAAATAGGGTGGGAGAGATGAAAATTGAAACAGAATTTTACATCGTTTTTCTTTCTTTCCGTACATTTATTATCCGGAATTGCATAATATTCCTCGGATCAAAAACGTATACGAGGAATTTCGCGTTGCACCCGCTGCAAATGGATCGATTTGGCAACAATTTTTCTTTTCTTTTCGCGGTTGTATTAATATTTGATCGTAGAAATCGATTGTTACGATCGAGAATAAATTTAAATTTTAAATTTTACGCTATGCACTTTTACTTCTTCTTTTTTTCTTTTTCTAGGTTGCATCATTGCGTTAATATTTATTTCTTATTACGGATACGATGAATCTAATACGAGAAATTAATAAAAATTAATGAATGTTGAAATCAAACCATTGAGTATAAAATTTTTCATACGCGTTTTGGAATTAGATAAAAAAAATATTATCTATTTAATCCATTAAAATATCGTTAATTATTGACTGTGTTTTATTTAAATTTAGGATATAAAACAATTCCACTTTTCTTTTCTTTTCTTTTAGAAAAATACGCGATACACGTTATAACTTTGTTAGCGTTTTGCCATAAATGAAAAACAATAAATTCACTTTTCTATTTTTTCGATTTAACGTAAAATTTTTTCAGCGTTTAATGACTTTCTATTCGATTCAACTGAATTTTTCAATGAAAATCAATGCAATTTCGAACATACAATTGTTGTAATAACTTTTTTTGCGGAAAGTATTAAATTTTAAAATATAAATAAATAATCTTTTTAATAACAGTAATTTCGTATTGTTCGAAGGCAACAAAATACATCGAAATGGAAAATAAACGTGGAAGGGAAAATTTCATAAAATGATCGACGAAACTCGTTACGTCAATTTAACCGGAAGTCGGGCTTAATTTTTCGTTGCGCAATTCTGTCTATTGCCATCGTTAAGTTTCGAGATGATTGACACGATATTGTAATACTCCGGACATGGCAAAGATCCATCACGATTTAAGACACACAGATTATGAGTAGAAAACGACGTTTAATAGATTATCGAGCTTATTCACCTGTATATTCTTACAAATATTTTTCTCATAATTTATCGAAGCAGTTATTTACCTAAATTTATACGACAACTTATTTTTATATTCACTCGCGAAATACGTTAATATCGTTTCGCGGAAGAGCATGAAACACGTATCATGTACGTATCCCTCTTTCCCAGATATTTTCTCCATAAGTACAAGCGTAACACGGAAAGATCGGCATGATTTGCAACTTATATAATAAATGCAGATTAAATATAAATCACTCGTCGCGTTAATTTTCAGTTAAGAAAAAGAAAAGCGAAAAAAAAAAAGAAAAGAAAAATCAATTCGATCGTTCGAAGGAAACGACGTGCACGAATCCTTGATGAATTTTTCTTATGATCTCCAACTCTCTCGTTTCTCCTCGCCATCGGCAATTCCGTCGCTCCACGAGCAAACTGGGTCAATTTTATACGGAGATTTCGATTTTTTTCTCTCCCCCCCTCCCCTACCCGAAACAAACACTTTTCTTATTATAGAGGAAGAAGTTCGAAAATTTTCAGGGTGTCATCGCGTTGAGTTGACGGAAGTGAAACGATTCTGCGGTCAACGGAACACCGAATAAGGGGGTCCGAAAGGGTCGATCGGCATTGGTGAAAGGGGTCCGTATGCAATGCAATCGTTGTACCCCCGCCTCATCTTGGCTCGTTGGGCCTGGGCAGGGCACCGCTATAAAAGCAAACCACGTCGCCCCTCAGATACGTAGTGTTTTCCCGTGTACTGCACAAGAAAAATCACCCACAATGAAGTTCGTAGTAAGTTTCTCATCAGTTGCCAACGAGTTGCTCGTAGTTTCTTCTCGGGCCTCGTATCCATACACGTATCCATTTTGCATCTCCATTTTAAAATTCACCATTCGCATTATTCTTATATTATAACTGTATTCATGCATCTCTTTGAATTTCGCCTTTTCGAAGTAAACGGAACGAGTTCGAGTTGGAAATATCGAGTTAATATTTTCTTTCTTTTTTCTTTTTTTTTTTTTTTTTTTTTTTTATAATTGCAGATTGTCCTTTTCGCCGCTATGGCTGTTGCCAGTGCTTACCCTGGATACTTACACGCACCGGTAAGTAAAAACAAAAGTTTCTGATAATTAATCCGATTCGATTTTTTCGCCAATCGAATTGCGTTCTACTGCACGTTGCGTAATAATCTTCCGATCTTTAATTTTATCTAAGTTTCACGAAAGGAGAAATTTATTCCATACCATTCACTCTGGACCTATTAAAAATATAACGCTTTATTTTATTTTATTTTTTCAAACGTTCAACATCTTAATTTCACTCTCGTAACAATTTCCGCACAACACTGAATCCACGAATGATGCGAGACCATTCCAAGGCACTTCTTCATAATCGATAAGCTATGTATCGTATCTTTAAAATTTTAACCCTTCTCTTAACTCTATTTCGTCCAAGTCTTACTTGACGAGACTTGGGCCGCTCCAAAACTCGAATCGAGAAGAAATCTTTGATCATCGTACGTCATCACTCATCTATTTTCACGTCTTTCTTTTATCGTTTTATCTTTCTTTTATCCACTGGTTATCTAAATCTAATCTGCCGAAAACTGGCGGCACGAATGCGCTCTTCGTTGGACCGAGAAACTGGACACGCTCGGCGGTAACCAAACGTAACCAAAAGTTTCCGCATCGAAATTTAAAGAGCAGTATTGAAAAGGATTTTTGAAATACGCATAGGTAGTGGCGCAACCATGGCTAGCACCGGAAGCTTGGCCAGCACCCGCACCTACGTACGTTAAGGTCCCTCAAGCACCAATAGTCAAGGTATCGGCTCCTCAGGTAACGAAAAGAAAAAAAAAAATAATTTAAGATTAATATCATGTGGTCAGGTGAAACGAAGAATCGATAGAAGAAACGAAGAAAATTTTTCGTTTTTCGAGCGTCTAATATCCGTAAAATATAACATTACTCAAAAAGTGTACGTATACACGTTTCGTTTTCATCTATTTTCTCGAGTATCACTTTTACCATTCACCTATAGCGAATATCAGCTACCTACCAGCAATGTTTTATTTCACCTTGGCAACAACCAATTTCATTTTCTCGAGTTCAATTTCAAAATCAATCTTCCTGTACCACCATTACTTTCTTTCATTTATATTTTGACTCTTCGCCGCCTCATGCGTGTTCGATTTCGATTCGAATCGTTACCGCACCATCGATAACTCCTCATTTCCCACGTCTAATGGTTCGTCTAAAGCGGAACGAATCACGTAACTTAACTTTCCAATCAATCGATGCGATCGTATCTCGATCGCCGTCTAATTGAATTGTTCGTTAACCAACGTTAACCAACAGCGTTTGCAAATCCCCCTTAACGAGGATTGCGGTTCTGAATCATCGTTCAACGATTCCTTCCAATCCCTTACTTATGCAACCGCATAAGGAGTCGCGAGATTTTCTAACCGCTCCTTCAGTTCCTTTCTTCCGCGTTTATTATCCGCTCGCGGTTAAGCTCGCGGCAACTCGCTTCGACGAATTTTCTTCGACGTCGAGCATCAGAAACAAAAATTTCTTACGGACCTAACTATCTCAGCTGACCGTGTCTCGAGTAAAATTAATTTAACGTCGGGAAAAATTTCGCAGGTACATGCTCCGGAAGTCCATCAAGTGCTCCAGATTCCGCAACAACCAGCTATTCCACCCCCACACCCCCAGCCCCTCAACATTAAGATCCCCCATGTGCCAACCGTGAAGATCCCGTACCACGGACCCAAGGTCGCGACACCTCACCTCGTCGGCGTCGAGCACTACGTGGAGCCTCAGATAAAGGTGGTGAAGGCCGCCCCCATCTCCCATCATCCCTGGGATTAAAGTTCCGCACGGCACCAACTGAACTCGCTTGCCCAGGGTGAGCATCAATCCTGGACGAGCCGTCCCGAGGTGCATCTGGAGTAGCGACGCTTCACGAATAACGATAACCATGGCCAACATCGAAATTTTCCTGGCGGGAAAGAAGCTCGAGACGATATACATTTGAAGCATCCGACCGTTTGTCGTTCTGCCAACGCTCGAGTTCTTCGTTCTCGAAGAAGGGGAAACTCAAACCCCTCCCCACCCTCTAAATATCGACCGAGGAATCATATTAATCGGAGGGAGAAAGTATTGTCGATCAGTATTATCCAACGAATAAACGATGGACGAGGAACGTCGAGGTTGTGGATCACGATCGACGAGGATCAAGATCGACGGCCTCAGGATCGACGGCCAAATCGAATTTCTTCTTTTCGACACCATCCGAACGCTCGGGCAATTTCCAATCTCGAGGGAAAAGTTATTACGTTACGTTTATTTCGATCCTCTCCCTTTTTTTTTTTTTTTTTTTTTTTTTGGTCTACACGCGATCTACACGGCGCAACGAATTTTTTTACAGTATCAGTTTCCTGTATTTTGCCCCTCCATCCCGCCCTCCTCTCTAACTCTACTTCTTCTTTTCTGGGCAATCTCTGGTAAAAATTTTTGTGCGTGATATTGAAGAAGACATCGCGACATCGGAGCCTTCATTGTATATTTTCTTCTCTTCTTTCCGCCTACTCCTCCCTCCCCCTACCCTTATCATACTTTTGCAACAACACTTTTATTTATTTTCTAATAAAAGTTAATTTTTATGTCTTGTGATAAAAAAACATTGGTGTGCTCTCTCTTTCTCTCGTCAACAATTCATCCCTTTCTTACCTGCCATCGTCCGACAGAATTTTAAATTTCATTTCGATAAAAATATCTTTACCTATCTCTCTTGTACGATTTATAATTTCAATTTCTTTTTTTATCTTTTTTCAACGCATAAATTTTTATCATTGCACGATGACACACGTTCGATGCATTCGTACACAACACGGAAATTCTCTTAGATATAAATCAATCTAATGTCGCCAGGGTAACGAATCGTCCAAACAAAAACTTACTGCCATTATTTTCGCAGAGTATCGTGTTTGTATGAAAAGCAGCAGCGAGTCCTACCAGTTTACCGATCGATCCCATCGAATTTCGAAACGAAGGTTCTTTCGATCGATTCAATTAACTTCTATCTCATTATCGTGATCGATCCCTATCACACTTGCGAAAATAATATGAGCGCAAATACAAAAATGTTCAGATTTGTATCAATCCTGTTTGAAACGAATAAGACCATCCTCTTTATTAAAACTCGAATTCTTTGAAAACAATTACTTATTGGGTAATTTTTACAATTTATAGACATTGTTGCACACCTCTGACTATGATAAAAAGAAAAATGCTCAAGAGGCCACACCGTAGAAATTACGCAACGAGAAAGTGGCACGAATCATAAATCGTTCTAATTCGATGCAGCGGTCGTATACACATACACAAAAAAAAAAAAAAAGAGGAGGAACAGAAATAGAAGAATTAGAAATAAAATTGTTAGAACGTGAAATGACTCATTTCGAAGATAATAAAATTCAGAATTTCGAGAATTTTCGCGCATCGAGAAGCTCGCAACGAGTTATAACTCTTTTGAATTTCTTTTTCTTATTTCTTTCTTATACAGTAAAAAAATTTTCAGGAAAATTTTGTACATCGATTATTTCGATTATTGATCCTACAACTAATATAATTATAACCCTTTCACTTAGACCGATTGAAAGAAATTAGATCGTTTTTCCGTACACATTGGCTTATAAATACCCCATCGATCACCTATCCTGTATTTCATTTCGTTTAGTTACGTAAATTTGATACCACTAGTCTAACATAATAAATTACCGTTGAATTTTTCATTCGAATCTTTTTCATGCTGGAAAGAACACGTAACAAAACGTTTCGAGGAATACGAAGCTCGCTGTCTAATTAGTTAAATTACTTATTTACGTATTTACAATTACCGATTCTTGTGTAATCTTTGGTAATTCTTAGACGCATGGAACATATTAAGTCTGGAGAAACTTCATTTATATAATTGAGAAATATCGAGGCTGAAATAATAAGTTTCGCAAACATTTTGTTTTTTATAATTAGTAAGAAATCAAGATACGAAACGTCTTATATCTATTCATCTTCGCATATATATTTTTTAACGTCGTATTTACATTTATCCAAGATCTTCCTCGTGAAACGTCAACTTCTTCTTCTCCACAATTTGAGCACAACTTGATCAATCACGCTTGATCGTCCCTCGCTTGATCGTCAAGAAGCAACAGAAAAAAATGAAAGGTAACACAATCGTTCTCCTCGACCTGCATTTGAAAAATCACAATCCCCCGAAGCACGTATCGTACTTCAGAAATGTTAATTACACTTAACGAGTGTGTCAGGTACCGTTCGATCAGACGCACGAAAGGGAGAAAAATATTGCGAAGAATTCACAACGAATTCTGCTCCCAGCGATTCCCCCCTCAGGCGGTCCTCGTCATTGCAATTCAGTGAAAATTCTTTTTGCGCGCAACGCAATCCACGATTTTTTTTATTGGACAACCTCGAGGCATTGCCCATATACGTGTTGGAAATATGTAAAGTACATTTTGCCACTCGAAGGCGTGGAAATGTTTTATGTTGATTCTCTGGTCAAGTTGCTCCATACTTATTCCAGAAGTCGAAACTTTGATCGAACGCAGATGTATCCTATTTGAAAAATTTTCGTTCTTCGTTTTATTTTATTTTATTTTAGAAGTTTATATCGTGCTGTTCTCAATTGAAAGAACACTTTAACCGATGAAAGGACGTCGCCCGTTTCCGTACTACTATGATATATCGATTCACTGAAATATTATTTTACCTACTATTATTGATTACTTATATTTGCATATTTTAAACGAATCGAGTAACGTGTTTATCCGATAAAAATATTTATACTATGTAATTCAGTGGTTTTTATTATCGGCGCAAAAGAAGTGTTCTCAACAAAAATAAATTGTTTGATCATATATTCATTTATCATTAATCTTTACTAGATTACAGGTATAATTGAAATGATATTCACCAATTATGTGAATGAATAATGGAATAATGAAAAATTATTTCTTTAGTTTTTCCCATACAGTAATACGTGCATACATCATTAATACGCAGTAGACGATAAAATCTAATTATATTTTATTTTATTTATAAAAAAAAAAAATCAAAATTCTGCAAACGTCACGATTCCAGCGAAATTTTGTTTGCGTAAAATATAATTTCTTAACGCGAGTTAAATGGTAGTGCAATTTCTCTTCAATTAAATTCTATTTTACCCATTGTCATTGTTTCTTTAAGGTAAACAATTACGGAATAAAAAGTAAGTAGCTCGTTCTATAATGAGAAACAAACCTTGCGAAGAGTTTCTCAATACACGAGGACGAATATCGATTCACGTTTCAAGGAAGCGCATGTTTTAATGATAAACTTTGCATACGTCAATTATATCGAACAACGTATAATTCTATTTCTTAAATGATCAATCTCGATCTCACAATCTGTTTAACGCAATATCAAAGATATGACTATTTTCCTATTATCCTCGTTAAAAAATTAATCCCTCGACTTGGTAATCGAAACTTACCAAAGAAACGAATCCTATTAATTCCTCTACTATATAAATGCCTATATCTCTATATAAATAGAAAACCAGCTTGTATCTTTAACTAACTGTATAAATCGTAACAGTATTTATCTCGATTGAATAATTTTCTTTGACTAACTTTCACCTAGAATCGCATCTTTTTATCCAAGTTCGCGTTCTAGATCACATAATCGTCTGGTTATCCTTAACAGGATAGATCTCGTTAAAATGCTTGACCGTCCACGGAGACAAATTCTCGTTAAAAAAAAGTTTCGAAAAGGGGATATAGGCGGCGAAGAAGCGGCGTGGTGCGGGAGCACCATTTCAATGAGGGTGGAACACGTGGCCGAGGGGTGAATGTAACGACGCGCACAGGTGAAGATAGACCGAGTTTGTTCAACGTAACAACGAGAACCACTGGCAAAGCAGGAAAATGTGAACGTATGGATAGCCCGTTGTCCCTCGAGGTTGTTCAGTGTCGTCAGTTCGATCCGGTCACTAGGCCATTCACCATGAACGAGCGCAGTGAGTATATTTCTTACTATTTATTCATTGTTTCCGGTGATACCGTGTATCCCTTTTAACTCCCTATATAGCATGCTTCAAACTTCTCTAGTAAGTATTTTCTCCCTTTATAGTCGTGTCAAGTTCAATTTTCTACGATTTCAATACGAGAGAATTGGAATGGAATTCTTTTCTCATCGTTAATCTTGGTGCACTTTCAACGATGATAATTTTTAACTTGGATCGTAAAAAAATTCGACGAAGAATTGAAAAAAAAAAAAAATGATTATATATAACTGCTTCAAAAATTAAAAATAAATATTCCTATAAATATCATTCATTACTTGACTGCTTAATTGCAAATTAATAAATATCGCAAATTGTATTTCCATTCAATTTCGTACTTTATTATTCTTCTTTTATTCTTCAGAGGATGAAACGCAGTCAATTTACACGGTCGCCAGCCAACAGAACTTGGTACCGATAAAATCCAGAAACGCCTAGTAAGTGAGATCGACGTCTGCCGGTTGTCTCTGCTCGCCTATTTATTAAGTCGTGTTATGACGTATATCAAACGACCAACGAGGAAACCTTTAATTCATTAGATTTGTTTTTCTTTTTTCTTTAGCCTAAAGAAACGAAGACACGTACCGAATTTAATGATGATTGCATTGTTTCTCCTGATGGGTCTATCTATCCTAGCGGCACTGGTGTTTTCTATACTTTGTAAGCAATTTTTATCGAACGTGATCTTGCTTTTTCGCATCATTTTACGAAAATCAAGAATTTGGAAAATAAAATTTATTATCAAATTTCGTTATTTTTTTTTAATTTTCAACTATCGTATTTTGACTTTTTTTTTTTCTTCAGATATAACCTACAGACCGACGAAACTCTGCGAAACAGACAATTGCGTTCGTATAGGTAAGCGATTAATTGATTAATCAACTCTGTGATATTCTATATCTCTGTGATTACGATTGGAAAAGATTTGATGAAATTTTCGTTACTGTAGCTGCTAGTTTGAAAGAATCTATGGATACGTCCGTAGATCCTTGTGACGATTTTTATAAGTAAGTATACATTCTGGAAAGTTCTGATTATTGACTGTACATATCTATGGCATACGTTTCAGAAGTATATACGAAGTATATTTTTCAATGTCGTGCAATGGTACACATGAAGTGTTCAGGCTTTCGTGTACAAATACGATACGATCTTTATCTCCGCATTTTAACGTTCAATTCCTTTCCAGATACGCATGCGGGAAATGGCAGGACGAGCATCCTATACCGGATAAGAGTTTGATTAATTCGTGGTTCGACGAGCGTTTAGAAAAAATATACGTAAAAATCAGAGAACTGTTACGGGAAAATAGGACGGATAGCAACGAACCGTGGGCAGTATCGCAGGCTAAACTATTGTATAGTAGCTGCATAAACGTGCGTACGTTGCCATTTTGATAATAAATGATTTTTTCGCTTTCACTTTTGATAAGGAAAGTATTAAAATAAAAAATTCTTTCGAAACATTTCTGCTGTAATTTGTTTCTCGAGTTTTTATTGAATGTTCGATGAAAAGGTTAAAAAAAGAGAATAGACCGTCGAACGTTCGAGTTAATTTCAGAGGCGACGAACGAGCTGGGACTGACGCCGTTGTTCGATGTATTGAAAGAGCTCAGTCTACCCCCGGTTCCTGCGGCCATCACCAAGAAAACGAGCGATTACATCGAACAAATAGCCAGGGTGAAAAAAGTTCTAGGAAAGGACGTGTTCTTCCGCTTCGACATTATTCCCGATCCTCGAAACAGCAGTGAAAATGTAATGTTTCTCGACACACTGATCATCAATAATCCATTGCCCAAGTAAGGATCATGTGTTACTAGTTTTGAGATATTTATTTCAAACGTGATTCGATTAATCGAATGATCAATCGAATTTTTGTATCGTTAACAGCGAGAAAGAATTGGAGAAACGATTGCATTCGATCAGATCAAGTTTCCGGAGATTGGAGAACGAGGAGAACGATGAAAGTGAAGATAAACTGAAAGATGTAGAAATCACGTATATAACCGGCATAATTAAGCAAATCATGAACAATGGAACCCTTGATACTTGTTCTTTAAACGATGAATCATTGCCGTTTGATGAGGAAGAATTGGAAGAAATCACCGAGTCGCTTTACAAATTAACAAGCGCATTTTATTACGTACGTTGTTCGAATAATGCAACTTAATAACGATTACCGTTAACCAAAAATATTATTTTTATTACAGCTATCCCATTACGATGAAACCACTTGGCAAGATGATCCGACCGATGATAATTACATGCTGGTAGACGATCTTCAAAAGGTGACCGACGAGTTTGTGACGGAAGTTAATTCTACGCTCACGCCTAAACTGTTATGGCGGCCGTTCATTGAACTGGTTTTTAAGGATATTGACACTTTAGACTTGGATAACAAGGACAAAGTGTTGATAGGCGATCTGGAATATTTGAAGGAAATCGCTCTTACGTTGACTCTCGCCGAGGAGGAAGAATTAGGTAAAGAAAATTTGAATTTCGATAATTTTTTTAAAATTAACATATCATAATCACGTTGATGTTGAATTTTCTTCAGAAAGTTACGTATGGTGGGTGATAGTAGACATAATCGTGCCACATTCGTCGGACAGTTTAAAAAAAATTTGGATAGATTACATCAACGAATTGACCAATATCGAGGTCGGTGAATCGAGGTCATTCTTTTGCGCGTCCGTGGTCAACGAATTGATGGGTCGGTGTAAAATATAATTTTATTTGGAATGTATAAAAGAAAAGTTTTTTTTTGGAGATCGTTGCGAAATTCGACGATCTTTTACCAAACACTGCTATAATTTTAGGAATGGCGACCTCGTGGTTGTTCGTGGACTCATCCTTTCACGAAGACAAAAGTAAAAATGTGTTGGAAATGTTGGACAATATAAAACAAGCTTTCGCCTCGATGGTTCTGCGAACCGATTGGATGGACCAGCGGACAAAACTGGCCACGTTGGAGAAGAACAGAAAGATGAAGACACAAATCGGCTTCCCGGATTGGTTATTCAGCGAAAAAGAGCTCGACGAATATTACGAGAGCGTAAAAAATTGTTCATTCATTTTTAATGAATGTTTAAATGTTTAGCGGCAATAAAGTTAACTCGTTTATTTTCAGATAGATCTCTCGGAGACGGAGTATTTGAGCAATATAATACAAATTATTCGATTGATGTCCTTGAGCGAATTAGAATCCATTCATCTGATTAATTATAAAAATGAATCATAGTAAGAATTTTATTTCATTCAAAGAAACGTTGCCGAATTGGAAAAGTGATCAAATGTTTTTTTTATTTCTCAGCTGGGCGACCGATCCAACGGATGTAAATGCATTTCATACGTATGAGTATAATCATATAAGTACGTATTTTTATTTCTTAAATAAAACTCAACACTTAATATAATCGCACGATTACATGCATATGTCGCTTTTCTTTTTAACGTGCATGCAGCTGTACCAGCAGGAATTCTTCAATTTCCTTTTTACGAATTGGGTCTTGAGTAAGATCGGAATTACGATCGATATAGGTATAGTAAATAACAGGTTTCTATAGATCGATTTCTCAATTTCAGGTCTCTGAATTACGGCGCCATCGGCTCGATCCTTGGTCACGAATTGACTCACGGATTCGACAACAACGGGAGACACTACGACAGTAACGGGAACGTGAAACAATGGTGGACCAACGAGACTATTTTGAGATACACCGAGAAAATTGAATGCTTCATAGATCATTACAACACTTACTACGAAGCTGAAGTAAGCGCGACGTCATTTAGATAGATCGTTGACCAAAATTGGCGATCGAACATCGGCGAGGTGTTCGATCTCTTTCTTCCATTTACGTGAAATTGAGTTTATAAAAGTATCAAAGATTTTGACTAAGCATTTATTCGAGCAGATAGACGATTATATCGACGGTAAACTCACATTGAATGAAAATATAGCGGATAATGGGGGTCTGAGAGAAGCTGTCGTCGCTTATGAAAGATGGAAGGCCAAACACGGTCGAGAGCCCTCGCTTCCGGGATTCACTCACCTCACTCACGAGCAACTTATTTTTCTTAGTTTCGCACACGTAAGGCGTTTTGATTTATTTTGTCGGATATTATATCGTGTCGAAGCTCGATTCTTGAAAATGATTAAAATTTATAATTTTTTTTTTTCAAGCTGATGAAAAATGTATCTTTTGAAACGCGTTGAACAATCCATCTATTAAATTGATGAGGATAAATATTAATAGAAACTTTTTTATTATTTATTTCATTATTATTGCATTATTACATTATTATTCTTTTTCTCTTGTGTCCTTTTCATGTCACGAGACATTAAATTAATGATAGACGATTTTCAAATACTCGTTATTTAATATATTCTTGGATTTTATTTTCGATCAATTCGCATTTCATTTGCAAGAAATTTTTTTCATTTTTGAATATTTGTAAAAGATATTCATCGTGTTTAATTTATTCATATTCAGGTTTTTATGATATTTTTTTCTGCTTAGATTTGGTGCGAGATCAGTACTCCAAAATTTTTAAAATCGATGTTACAAAATAGCCATTGCCCTGGACGCGTGAGACTTCTCGGAGTTCTCAAGAATTCCCAAGAGTTCAGCGAAGCGTGGAATTGTCCTGCGGGATCGAACATGAATCCCTCGAAAAAATGTAAAATATGGTAACGACAGAATTCCTCGATCGAAAAAAAAAAAAAAAAAAAACTCCTGAATTTTCTCTTCCTCGAAAAAAAAGTCACGCTTTTATATTTTTCAATCTCCTCAAATTATTATTATTATTAACATCAATTATATGTATATATACATATACTAATAAGTGTTATATAAATATTAACTATAAAATATAATTTCATTGATCGAGTTGTAAAGGATAATTGTTAGATACTCGAGTAATCCAATATTCATAATAAAAGAATTTTATTTTATTTATATTACACGTCGTGCATTCGTATTTCGCGTGATTCTTCAATTGTCACAATTTGAAAATAATTCTTTCCGATCGCGCCAGCTCCAATCGATTCTAAATGCTCTCCAACAACGGACGAATCCATCTATCCATATAATCGACGATACGATTCATTTTCAATAAACATATCCGCCGTTGGCTTCCGTGGGTTGAACGTACTCGTTGGCTGGCGTCACGCTCACCACCTGCTTACTAGCCGATACCGGATTATTGACGAGTTCTTGATTGTAAGTGTCATCGCTGAGAATGGTGACAGGGGTGGTCACCTTAACCGGTTGGCTCGTGGTCAACTCCGACTTAGAATGCGCGCGCGAGGACGAGGACGAGGACGAGGAGGAGGGCGAGGAGGAGGTTGAGGTCGAGGATGGGGGCCGTAAGGTGGAAAAGTTGGGCAAATACATGGTGGCGAGCTGGTAGAAGAAATTGCTCAGGAATTGCTTGTCTTGCAGGCCCTGATCCGAGATATGGATCACGGGTACCGATTTGGTTTTAAGCACCTCGGTCACGGAGTGTTGGGTCTCGACGGGCTGGTGCGACACGATTCTCACCGATTTGATCGGATCCACGGTGTCCACGGATTGCAGGGGGCTCGCCGTCGACACGCTCACCACAGGTGTTAGGCTCTCGACCACGGTCGGCACCGCGTGTTGCACAGGCGACGAGGTCTTCACGGACTTGACAGATTCTACGGTGTGCACCAGATTCGAGGATGGCAAGGTCTCGACGGATTGCACCGGTGTGTAGGTGCGCGTCGCGTGCACGGGGGTCAAAGTGCCCACGGAAGATACGGGTTGGATCGGAGACAGCGTTTCGAAGGGAAGCGACGAGACGGAAGGCAATGCGTAGAGGGTGTGGACAGGGGCGCGTTGCAGGATATGCGTGTGTGGAGCCGAGAAGGCTGGTTGCGCGACGGAATAGGCGGTTGGAACGGTTTTGTCGAGCTGGTGGGACGATGAGAGGGGAAGAGGGACGTTCAAATTGACCGCGTGATCGACAGGGATGGATTGTAGCGTCGAGTAGAGGGAAGGAAGTTGGGAAGAGACGTAACCGGGTATGTTAAGGACTCCGCCGTAAGAAGCGTAGACAGTGGGCAGAAGAGTGTTGCCAAGGACGTTCTTCCTCACGGTTTTCGTAACCGAGGGGTTGATCTTCGCTCCGTTGGTAAAGTGTGTTACTTCTACGGAAGAGAGAAAGAGAGAGAGATTACGTAATTATCAAAATGTGCTACGATATGCGATACGATACGAATCTCTGATGGTATTTTTAAAAATCTTGAAGAAATTTCGACGGATAAATTATTCAATATGCAAAATATGTGGCACGATATTAGCAATACTCGAGTAGTGACCGCGATTCGAATTATGTAATGTTAAAAGATTCTTACGTTTTACGGTAGGCCAGTGTTCAACGATGTTCACAGTCGATGGAGATCCTTCGTGAACTCGAGTGTTTACGGTTTTGACCGTGGATTTGACTTGAGACGCGGATTCGGTATTTACGGCGGTCTAGAGAAAATTAGATATGTTTTACTCGTTTGGAGTAATTTGCAGAATGGATAAATTATTGTAAAATGTGTTAAGTTTACCTTAACGGTTTTATCCACGGGAATACTATAAAGGGTTGATGGCGGTGTGACACTTATCGTCTGCAAATAGAAAATTACGGCACAATGTGATCGGATTGAACTTCGTTTGATTTATTCTATACGTACTTCGACGCTTTCAACGGGAATCGAGAATGTTGTGCTTGATACTACTTTTTCAGGTTCTACGTTAACCACTTCAGCGACCTGAAGAAATACGTAATACCTCATGATTTCGTCGATAGAATCTTTATGAAATAATTTTTCTCGTATAATTTTTATTCCAATTACCGGTGTGGAATATTCGGTGATAGCGAGGGGTGACAAGTACTCGTTACCAAGGGGAGCGCCCGGTTGATATCCAGGGGGTCCATAGACGTCCTGTACCACGGATTTGTCATCAAAGGATTTAACTTGCACCACGTTGTCGAGATGATGATCGATTCCGTAACGTGGATCGCCTGGAAGAACGTCCCTCTTTTGCTTTGGCTCGGGGAAAGCCGAAGAAATCGTCAAATAAGTCTGAAATAATTTGTGAGAAATACAACGATTATTTTCTAGATATTTGTTTGCGCGTTTCACAGCAATTTCTTTTCATCTATAGTCTTTGATCAAAATTTTTAAATTCCAGTGAAAAGATGTTTATCGAATAGAAAAATATGAAATCTATCTCGATAAAATATTTTTGGCTGTACACTGAAAGAGGCAGCTTACCAGAGCGATCAGCAGCAACCTCATGTTTACGGTATGCTGTTTGAATAAGGAGTGGAATATCATCCCAAAGATATTTCGATCTTTTATACTTGACCGATGTTCCCTCTCAGTTTATTTCGCAATCGGATGGCATTGGGAGAACTAGATTTTTTAATTGACTTTTTTTGAAGGCCTCCTCGTCGTCGAGAGATGATCGTCGAGCGAACAAAATGTTTCCTGAATAATCCTCGCTTGTGCGTGTTGGTGACACTGCCGACCGAAGAAAATAAAATTCCACTTTTGTTTCAGTGTTGGTGTTCCTCTTCTCTGATCTTCCGTCCACCGATTTTTACTTTCGATATTTTAACCAATCATTATGTAGGAACGGACGATGATTTATGCAAATCTCTATGCGTCTCTTTCCTCAACTTCGCTATCTTTTTTTTCGTCCTTTTTCTCTTTTCTTCTCATCATCGATATCAAGAAAAAATGCGCATGTATGACCATTATCGAGCTTCGTTCGAAGAAGAAGAAGAAGAAGAAGAAGAAGCTTTTAAAGGATTCGGATAACGAACGATACTTTCGTAAGATTTAATGGATCGTCGTCAATCACACCTAAGTATATAATTCGTATGATCCCGATTATTGATCAAGTTTATGACAGCTTTGTGTTTTGAGATATGCATGTGGCAGATGTGTTTCGTAACTTTCCAAATGCAGATGTATCGCGATAATGTTTTTAATGTCTTTTTTCTTGTAGAAAACAATTTGTAGAAAATAAAAGAGATAAACAACTTTGATATAGATCTTGTAGAATATATTTTACAAATTTATTATTATATTTTACAATATTTTGTTATTACGAAGATGATAGTAGACAAGTCTAATATTCTTGAATTTATTTTTTAATTTTTATTAGGTTGAAAAAAAATGATATAAGAGTCATTGTGTATATAACGTGTGTGCAACAGTTGATAGAAATATTGCAATTCATTTGCATTAATTATTTATTTAAATTAATGTTATATATTTAAATACGAATTCCACATCCTTGACCTATAAAAAACTTCAGTTTATCAATTGTTTTTGTAAACAAGATACCGATCAATATATATTTTATATACATTTCCATCGTCAAGAAATTGGATAAAATTATTTTGAAGTTTCTATGATGAAACACAATTTTTTTTCAAGTATGTAATAAACGAACGATGTTTTGAAGAAAGAAATGTTTCGAAGTCAGAAATAGATGCCATAAAATTTTATTAATTTTTTAAAGTAAATTTTATGAATAAATTTAACGAATAAGAGAAATATATTGTTTTTCGTTTAAAGTAACAATAATTTTATTATTATTTTTTTAAATGCAAATATTTTAATAATTCATAAAATTTTCATTGAACAGTTGTTTTAATTTCAAATTAATTTTCACGAATTTCATATTTTATCAATAATATTCTTTCGCGTTTTTGCTTCTTTTGTTAGAAATCTATTTAAAAAAAAATCTGTTGTCTTTTAAGTTTGGAGAAATCTTTTTCTAGTTAATTTATGATGGGCAGAAATCGACAATTTCTCTTTGTCCAAGCTTGTATTTTGGACATGGATAGACTCGTTTCTTCGTGATAAATCGACCGATTCACTGAATAATTTAAGAACATCGATAATGCATTAATTGCATAACGAACAACTCCATAAAAGACACATATTAAGACATTCCGATCTGATAGAAATTCAATTGCGCAATCTCATAAATTTCGTACTTTAATTTCAACAATTAATTATCAAATCAAAAAAATTCAAAGTTAATGGATTATATAGAAAATTAACAAATTATTTCTTTTTCTTTTTTATATTTTTTCTTATAACTTATTATATAAATTCAAATTGAATTCTTTTCTCCATTAGAAAAAAAAAGAACAACGGATAATAACGAGTACAACAAGTATTTTTAAAAAGTAAATATTTTCAAAATTAAATATCAATGATGAATTGAAGGAAATCAAAAAGTGTTTATTAAAATTTTTTAAAATCATTAAATATGCCGCGCATATTCAATTGTAACAAATCGAATTTTTTGTTCGAATAACACTGTGGCTCTATCTATGAGTTATATTCGAAAGTATATAAAGATATATCACCATAGATTATGTATATAATAGATTCTATAAGTCGGTACTTCAGAATACGTAATGAAAAATTCTATACGACGATGCATCTATTCTACATTTTCTTTATGTCTATACATATATAGATTATTCTCCTAGCAGATAAAGCAAGAATTAATGGTAAAGAGTAAAAGAATTCGCTTTATACTCACATAAGCTTATGAAATTCTTTTCTTTCTTTAATTTATTTTCAATTTAAACAACAATCCTTCTATTGCATTCGTGTCCATATATCTTTATATCTCATACATAAATGTCTTTCTATTGATTTAAATTTTGTATAATAAAACATTTTTACTTAATTTAAAATTTTTATACTTCGCTTTGTTAAAAAGCAAATTATACAACTATAAAACTGGCTGGCTGAAAACTTTTAGAGAATAATAATAGGAGAATCGAAAAAGATTTATTAGCACTGTAAATTGCGGTGAGAGTGAAGCTATATATTACCCTATTGCACGTGTATGTCGCAAATATATGCGTTGTCCATTAGAGAGCATTATTATGTTCATTTATGGATATTAGTTATAAGCTCGCTCTTCTACCGAGTTGCGGAAGGAAAGGACTCGCGCTCTAATTATCCCGATTATCTTCTACCCATGTCGGTTCGTGTTTCACTCAACTCCTATGGAAAACCATGTCAAGTATCGTTGTCTCTTCTTTGTTTATCTCTTTTGTTTGTCTCTTCTTTGCATTCTTTAATTTCTTTTAAATAATAAAATAGAGAAAGATGATCTTGAAAGTAGATTTTTTGGATAAGGTTTCAAGTATGCGTTTCGATTATTGAATTTCATACATATTTATTTAATAATTGTTTCTATTCGACTTAATAGAAAGTAATATAAAAAAATTGGTATGTATATAAAAAAAATAACATTGTGATAAATAAAATGAATTTTTATTTATAGATTTTTATTATAGATACAATTTTAAATAATTTTCCTCTCACGAAGAGCTCTTTTGAAAAGCTATTTCCATATTTTATACCTTTTATAACTTTTTACCTTTCTCTTGAAAGACAAACGAAATAAGGATAAGGTAATGCAATTTTTATCGTTTCGCGTTAATTTATTCATTTTTTGTCATATGGAAGATCTACGATGGAAATTCAATCGGTATCAAAGATATATTTTGTCCGTTTTATATAAAACAGATAATCGATATATAATTCGACACGGGATTACTAGTTTTCACCAAAAGTGAGAGGAGAAAGAGGGTTGACCGGTGAATGATTTTACTTTTGCTTTTGTACTGAACCGGATTCTATCGCCCTTATAAGAAAACTATTACTGATTAAACGCTACATTTTTTTCTCTCAAATCGGAAGGATACACGTTCTATTAGATCTATATCATACAATTCAATTTTTTACATAATATATACACAAAATATACACTTTGCACAGCTCGTACCAAGAACTGGAATTTTTCAAGGATCCCGATAAATTTTTCGTTGTCCTTCCTGTCGCTTTCGATCCTTCCTGTCAGGTTGGATCATACATTCTCACCAATATTTCCGTGCTTGGAAGAAAATATAGAAAAATATCAGTTGCAATAATTTGCACGAAAAAATTAAAAAAGAAATTAAAGAAAATATAACATCTTTTAAAAAACAAATAAGCGGTAATTACTTACTGTTCTCTAAAATGTTAACAGCTGTCAAAATCGATTTGATTTCTTCAACGGATACTACTTTCCTTTGAATCTCGGTATAGGATCGAAATGCTTGTTGTATGCTCATGTATCATTCCGACGAAGTTTTACAAGCAGCGGATTTGTTTCGCTCGCACGAGTGCATGCGAACGAGTGTGGCTGTAGAAAGAACCAGATGATCCAGATTATCCTTTTACTTTGGACGTTCTTTCAGTGTTCGAGAACGATAATCCTTTCACCGTTCTCTCCCTCGACCGTGAATAGTTTTCGCGGTTCGCATTTCAGAATCGTCGATTGCTCTCACCATTTTTTACAAACAGGAAATTACAACGCGGCCTCCGCTTCCTAATGCGATTTCCTCACCTTCTCTATCATCGTCCCTTCTGATCATATTGGACGAAAAAAATTGAACGAAATATTCTTCTACAATTAGAAGAATTGGAAAAATTATTTTTAAAATACGTTTGATACAAAAAATTTTGAAACATGTTTATTCCGAGTTATAGATATATAAAAATTAATAGTCATAATTTCATATCTAATAATAACTTGTCAATCGAATGAAATTGATACGATTTCGATCGAAGATAAATGTAATGTTTCGATTGAACAAATGTGATTTATTATTAATTATCATAAATATCTTAAACGTAAAAAGTAAATCGTTACCGTGAAAAGAGGTGTGAACAACTTTTCGATCGTATAAAATCAGTCAGTGCATACGTCAATTTTGACACTCGTAATTGATCGTGTAATTAATCGAAACATCCAAGACACGAGTAATTACGATAATTTTATATATCTATCGACGAAGATTGCACGCTCGATGAAAAGACGATAACAAGATAATCGCGTTCACTGTCACGATTCATCCTTTAAAAGGAAGAAGAGAAAAACGCTGGAATCATTATAGAGAGTTGGAAAAAGGAGGAGAGGGAAGCTGCGTGACTGGGTCAGTTACGAAAGAGTAAACACACAAATTCCCTTTCGGCGCAGTGCGCGGAAGATGCGAGGAGAGGATCGATTGCGCTTGAAATCGAGCGTGGTGGACGGAGACCGTGGCGTGGTGGCGGTCGTCGAACTCGCGAGAAGAGCAAGGAAGAAAAAAAAAAAGAAAAGAAAAGAAAAGAAAAGAAAAGAAAAGAAAAGGGGAGAAGCGGAGACAAGACTGGAGAACGCAAGCCAGTCGGAAAGAGAGTGCTTTCTTCGTGGATCGGCGATGGTGAAGGTCCTCGTATATAAGCAACTGCCGGTACTGCAATTGTCAGTGTGATTCGTCCCATCGGAAACGCCTATCTTCTTACACCTACGAAACCGGATGACGATGTGGCGAGTAGTAAGTTTTAATCATCGTCGAGATGGCGAGACGCGTCGAGCAGCAGTAATTCTCTCTCTCTCTCTCTCTCTCTCTCTTTACAACTTTCGTTGTAAATTTTGTGAACGTGTAACTCGAGTGGACTCGAACAGAGTTACAGGGTTGTAAAGTGTGAACTGTTCTTTTCTTGTTCTTGTCCATTTTTTTTTATTCGGGGGCGTGAACCGCCCAAAAAGTGATTTTAAGCGGGAGAGATTTGTCGGAGAAAGCATTGCAAATTCTCTTGGTAGATAGATGTAGATTATGAATATTTACGTGGATCTGTGCCTAAAAGAATTTCAACGGAGAAAGTTAATTTCCGTTCACTTGGGTCGGATATATAATACATAATTGAGATTCGTTTAATTCTTCTTATGATATTTCACGAACGTGAAAGGATTTTCTACGTTCCTTCAGCTCGACTCTCGTCAGATTTATCTTGGCGTGCAGTTCGATGAACTTTAATCGCGATTATATATATATATACGTTTGCAGTTTTTGTTCGCTTTGGCCGTGGTCGCCGCGAGGGCCTCTCATTTCTCCTCCCTGGAAGGTCATGGTCTTCATTCGAGCGAGCCGAAGCTTATCTCGCAATCGGTTCATCTCAAAGAAATACCGACCAAAATCATCAAGGTCACGAAAACCGCGGTCGTCAAGGTGCCAGTTCCCTATCCAGTCAAGGTATTCCTTGTTAATTTCTCCTTATATTAATTTCACAGTAATGCATATACACAATCCATAATAAATCTCTTCATCATCTATACAAAAATAATATTAAATAAAAATAACTACTGCAAAATTCAAATCTTCCGCAATTCTTTTGTACGTACAATCCAATCAAACAAACATCTCTTCAACATCAAAAATTGGAAAATTCAAATCTTTCGCAATTCTTTTGTACGTATAATCCAATAAAAAATCTCTTCGTTATGAATACAAAAAATGAGGATATTAAATAAAAAAGTAACTAGTGCAAAATTCAAATCTTATCAAAATTCGTCTTATTTCCATCGCAAAATCTGACAAATCGATCGCCTAGGAGGTTTCGTTGATCTAGAAATTCCTTTCTCTTTTGTAGGTACCCCATCATATACCGGTCCCGGTGCCAGTGAACCATCCGATCGCTGTTCCGTATACGAAGCTGGTGAAAGTTCAGGAACACGTGCCGGTCGAGGTGTCCAGGCCGGTCCCGATCGAGATCCATCAGCAAGTACCGGTGGTGGTGCCGAAGGCGGTCCCGGTACCGCAGCCGATTCCGGTTCCTCATCCCGTAACGGTGAACAAGCCTGTCTTCTACCCGGTACCACACCCGATTCCATATCAGGCGAGCCATTCCGAGGGTGGGATCGGAGGTGGAGCTGGTGGATACGATTCTGGGGATCACGGGGGCCACGAATCGGAGAGTTACAGCTCTTACACGGTGAATCAACACGGCCACGAGCAGGACGTCCAAGGTGGACACTTCCAACCATCTCAACCCGATTACGGCTCGCATCATTGAACGACATCATTTTCACATTTCCGTTGTACATATATTGTCGTTTATATTGTTTAAAGCCTGATTTGTTAAGTTTATGTTTTTTTAATTTTTATGTTTTTTTGTTGACTTGACGTTCTTTCCTATTTTTTCTTTTTCTTTTTTTTTTTTTTTATATGATCGTTTTAATAAAAATTTGTACTTTGTGAAATACTTGGTGACGATCGATGGTTTCACTTCTTCAAGCGCTCACAGTTACGCAGCAATTGTTTGATCAAATTATTTATATTTATATGTAATTGCGAGATCGATGGGATATCTAAGAAAAATGACCTCGATTTTTCATGCTCCGATAAAATGGAAAGTGAATTATCGTATCACGATTTGATGAGTCATCACGAGATCTGCATGATCTATATATATATATATATCTATTTGACGCATGGATTATATTCTATTTCTGGCCAGAAAAGATCGATCGTGATTTGTAAGATTTCCAAGAATGGAATTGTATTTGCGATGAGCGAACGGGTATAACGGGTCATCCGATTGAAACTGTCACGAGTTTTAATTCTTGTTTCTCGCGGTCAAGAAAGTGGACTGGAAACGCGACTGGATCGGTCAAATCAATGGCGCGGTTGTTATAGCGTTAGAATTTTTATAAAATTTATTTTTCTCTCACAGTTGGTTGAAAGTATGCAGCATGTAACTGACCATTAAAAACCGTAATTGCGCGCATTGCATTCTCGCGCGCTCGCGAAAAATGAATCTCGTTTTTTTTTCGCGGTTAAATGTCAATGAAAAATTACACGAGAGTGGTAAGTATGAAACGAATACGAGCGAAACGAGTGAAACGCAATTACGCGCCTTTATTTGTTTTCATTGTTAAAAACTCTTCTTAATTATTATAATAACGTGTTTTCTCTTCCTATTCTCTCACCACGGAGGATAACGAGGAATCGGATCTCTCAAAATAACACGTTTGCATAATTTGATCGCTTTATTCGAGGAATACCAGCTTTAATTTCAGAGAGGGGGGAGGGGGTGCACGCAAAATTTCGTTAATCACTTAAACTGCATCCTTTACCCCTTTAATGAGCCCACCAACTTGTACTTCTTTCACGAGGTATTTACACACCCCGCCATTCACTTTGGATTATTACTACGAATTCACGACGTTGTCTAATTTCTTCGTGGAAATTCTTAGGCCACGAATCTTCCCTATTTTTGCTTTATATTATTACATTATTATATTATTATTACTTATCGCGAGTATAAGTTTCTTATATCCGATTAGTGAAAGTAGTTTCTTTTAATAAATATCCGATATAATGTTGCGTAATACATTTTTTTTTTTCTATTAGATAATTTTTATACTCGATCAAGGTAATTGAAACCAGTTTCGTAATCTTTCGTTTCAAAAGAAATGATCAGAATTACAAAATCTCTTTTCAAATTTTTCTCGATTATTTCTCCATTTCGATATTTCAATATCCTTTTATATATATAAATATATATTTCTTTTTTCTTCGATATCAGTGGAACCGAAAAAAGGAAAAGAAAAAAGGAAAACACCATGTTTCTTTAATACGAAAACATATATTTATTTCTATGTTGGAAAACAAGAGTGAAATTACTTATACAAGAGCAAAAAAAAAAAAAAAAAGGACAAATAACCGCGATGGAACAATTACGTCGATTAACGCAGGATCGTTAACGCTCGCGGATTTATTCCTCTCACAGATACGTTCAAGAGAGAGAGATATAACCAATCATACCATCCAAAGGGGGCCAATCTTCGCATTATCGCGGGACAAAAGATCCAAAATATAAATTTGGCAAAAGATCGATGTTCGATGTGGTTGGACTCGGACTAGTTGTTCGTTAGTTCTTCGATCCCGGGGCGGAGATCTTATTGCTTCTTTAATCCGCAACTTTCTCTGTCGTCCATGAAATCCAACTGTCGCTCGGATTTGGAACACACGATAACGCTGTCGCTGTCACGATCGCCGAAGCTAGCTCCCTCGGATCCACGAAAATGAAAAAGATTGGTTCCGTTTACCAGGAGGAGTAGCCGCTTGGCCAACCGCCGTGATTGTACTTCTCGACCACGACTGCAGGTTGCACCACGGGCACCGGTATCTGTTTCACGTATGGAACGGCGTAAGGTTGGGGCACTTTGACTGCGTAAGGAGCCGGTACCGGAACTTTGATCGGGACCGGAACTGGCCTCTCCACTGGGACTGGAACGTGCCTGGTCACTTCGACTGGGTATGGTTTGGGGACGGGAACGGCGACGGGACGATCGACCGGGACGGCGACCGGCACCTGAAACAAAAATCGGTTAATCAATTTTATGCGAGTACACAAGATCTGAACGAAGAGTACGAGGTGACGAAGAAAGAGTTGAAGGAACGATACCTTTTTTCCTCTTCGAATAGAACTGTTGCAACAGTTAGATCATTGGCAAAAAATCGAGTGACTCGAGGACTTTTTCCAAGAGAAATCGCACGTGTGGGATTTGTAACGTTCTAAACGTTTACGAAATCGCGTTCACATTGAAACGTTAATTAACGTCCGATGATGAAGGCGTTTACTGCCAATCACGCGAACAGATATTCCAGGATAAACAGAGCGTGATTGGAAGCTCGAGGTCCTCGTCTGAGAGCGAGCTGATCTCCTTGATACCGATGTGAATATAGCGCATCAATATGTTAATACGACAGTATATGCAAATCGACTGGAACATTGTTTCCGTGGAACATTGCATCGAGTCGTTCTCGATTTCGCGATGCATTCTTTTTTCTTTTTCTTTATCACTTTTTACCAGAGATTACGCACGAGCTATCATGAAGATCTCGTAACATTTTTGTTCCATTTTTTTTTTTCTCTCTTTTATAACGTGGAAGAACGATCTTTACCTTAACCGGGACAGGGACGTGTTTCTCGACAGGAACAGCGACAGGATGTGGTACAGGGACTGGCACTTCCTTGGTTACGACCGAGACTGCCTGGCTGATCGGTGCAGCGTAACTAGAGTATCCATATCCTCCGTATCCTCCATAGATTCCACGTTTGTCCTTCTTCGTTTCAGTAGCTTGCTCTTCGGCCAAGGTTGCCGCCACGAGGGCGAAGATGATGAGAAGCTGCAAGAACGATCCAATTCTAATTACTGAGGTTCACTTGCGGCGATCCGCAAGAAACTTTCTTTTCGCTCTGCTAAGTTTCCTTCAAAGTTTATATGTTATTCGACTTGGAATAAAATTGGAAAAATCAGTCTTCGTGCACCGAAACGTTTGAAAAATAATAACGATATATATATATATATATTTTCTTTTTTTCTTTGCTTCGATAAAGTATATGCTTTGGATCCTTGGAGACGGAGTCAGTCCTGATCCCAGGCAAAGACTGATCGTCAAGATCGCGGAGATCATAGCGATCGTCCATACGGCTGTAATTGCTCACCTTAGCGTTCATGTTGGCTGCGCTATTGGAGTTGGTTCGTTGGTTGTTTTGCGACTGATGAGATAGCAAGAAGATCCACTGCTTTTATACGGTGTGACGACCACGACGAACCCTTGAAGAGGAGGTGGTGGGCAGTTGCGGACCTCACTGAAACGGTGAGAAGAAATTGGGCGTGGGGGATATAGGCAGGGGTCTTCGAAAACCGATCCAAGGCAAAGCTTCTTTTCCACTCCTTTTTTTTGCGAAAGATAACTTTGTATCCCCACCCCATCACGGATTAATATCTTACGTCAATAACTTTCTTCAATTTAATACGAATCGTGTTTCCCTTGTAGGATAGTTTCTCTGTTTTCCGTGTATTCGAGAGTTACGAAGCCTTTAATCCCTTGGGATTAATTTTTTTTTTTTCTTCCATACCATTTACGAACGAATCCTTTCTTATTTACGATACAATTACGTATATTAAATACGTAATAATAATATTCGAAACGTATATTATAATTAAAATGATTTAAAAGTTAACTGTTACTTATAGTAATAAATATAATTATTTTGATAATTAATTAAAGTAATAAGTTTAAACAATGTAAAAGATTAAAAGACTAAGGTTAGTGAATGATGCCAAAAGACGTGGAAGATATTACAGAATTTTTTAAAAATTTATTCTAAGAAATTTATTTTATTCTTTTTCTTGAAATTGATTTTTTTTTCTTTTCCTTTTTTTTTTTTTCTTCTCCTTTTCGTTGGAAAGGCTGGAAATAATTGTATCGTCAGACATGTGACCGGATCATTACAGAAAGTGACCGAATTTTTTGTGTGTTCACGCAATATCTCGTTTGTGCGGCCAGCTGAAAAAAAGTAATCTGAGAAACTACTGCTATATCAGGTGATCGTTATGTTAACATTGTTGCATTGCGACACGCAAAAGTGTGAATTTGATATTCGAAAGAAAATAACAAATTGGACGAAAATTGGAATCGTCCTTTTTTTTCTTTTTTTTTTATTTCGTCCCAAGTCGATCGTTTTTTTAGAGAAGATTTAATCATCATGCAAATCAAGTGATGCAGTGCAATCGAGCAAAAAAGCATCGAGACGATTTTATACGGGACTACATTAGGAAATTCCAAGGTGGATCAAGAATTCCTCTAGTGCGCGTGTTCTTTAGTGCGCGAACTAACTCTTCTTTCGTTATCCGTTCCTTCTCGTTTCGATTAATGAATTTCTACCGTTTATTACCCATCATTGTAAAATAGAAATTTCTCCAATTAACCAAAGCAAGTTGTACACCAAGAAACAATTCTTCTTAATTCATCAACTGCCGCCAGTCAAAAAAAAAAAAATTATCTCGTCGAAAAATTTGTATAAATTTCATACCATCGCTCGTGATCCTCATGAATGAGAAGGCACGTTTCGTTTACAGGCAAAGGGGACAATCATGGGGTGGAATAGTGATTAATGGATTATCATTTTTCATCCCGACTATCCTTTCGTTCGAAAAAAATTTTCGATGGAAGAACCAATCGATGCAATCGATATTCACGATATTTTTCAGATATTCATGCTTATAAAACGATCTCAAATTCGTGCTTCCAATAAGCAAATCCTTAATCCTACGTTTCCACAGGGATCGAATTTCATCAAGCGGGATCGATACCCGATTTTCATCCAAAAAATTGGATTCGACGAATTTCAAATTCACGTGCGGTTGACATTTCGAAAAACGCGAACGATCCTCCTCCTGCGTGCACATTTGCCTCGTTATAAATGAAAAGACGAGCTAGTTAATATTGAAAGAGAAAGAGAGAAAAGAAGCGAAAGAAAGGATCTTCGTTCGTAGAAGAAATTTATGCAGAAGGAACCCTCTTGGAACCCTCTTTGTCCGGGGACGTCGCACACCGGCATACCAGATTGTTCGCCGAGATTCTGATCACCGTAGTCCCTCTCTCGTTCACCTTGTTCTTATTAGACCGATTGTTATTTCGTTAAACAGCGATGATTCATTACCTTGATCGGAATAAGCCGATTTTTCTAACCCCTTAGACAGCGGATAATATGTTTAGTGTTACAAGGACTGTTGCACCTCCAACAATGTTAATTGACCGTCGTGGTCGGCTGTACTTCTACCAAGCAGTCGTGAACGTGACTCTGTCTTCGTACCTTCACTTGGAAAAAAAAAGAAAGAAAAAAAAAAATTCTACCGTGCGCGCAAAAAAAAATCGTTCCAAGTGCAAAGCTTTCGAGAAGACGTTCCAAATTTGGACTTGTATTTCTAATTTCGAGCATTCCTGGTGTCGACGAGAGAGAGAGAGAGAGAGAGACGTTTTAGGTGAAACCGGTGTACGCGACGAGGATGCAAGTGGCGATACATGGTTGATACATGGATCTCGATCTCTGTGCAATCGTGCGACGTGTGACGAATTGGAACTGGATCGAAAGATAGAAATTCAATTTTTCGAGGATACCAGGGGGCAGGAATCCCGCAAGAAGAAAGTATACCCCCGCTTCGTTGTACGCGTTGCATAAAATCGTTTCTCGGCCGATTTCGACACCGGAAACTGGCTTTGTCCTTTTTTTCCCTTCTTTCCTACGTACACGAATCTCCACGGTCCGTTTGTTACGCGCTCGAGATGGGCTCGTTCCTCGTTATTGCATAACAGCTATGCGCGGTATATACGAAACGAAACCGTCGAAAATTCCTACGCTCGAATTTCTCTGCGTTGTTCAAACCTAACTTGGTTACTCGATTGTTCTCGCGTTTATGGATCAACGGATAGACTAAGAATGGAGGAAAGAAAAAAAAAGAAAAAAAAGGAAAAAAAGAAAGAAACGATTCTTCGAGAAGGACTTTACCCGATCGGGTATTTCCCTTTCGAATTTCAATGTTAACCGATCGATTTGATTTATGATTAATTGACGTATGATTTATCGTGTAAACGTAGAGAATCGGTTGGCCTAATAATGGAATTCTAATAATATTAGAAAAATTTTGACATTTAACAATGACGAGGAGAGTGAAATCATTGTCATAAATTATTTCATAAGGAATATGTCGAATTATTTCTTCAACGCGTGCATTTCCTTTCTCCGTTCATAATAATTATTTGAAAGTGGCGAAAGAGTTTGGATTTATTTGTAATTTTTAAATTTCAAATAACAGATAAAACGTGCAATTAAAAAAATCATTCGAAGTCGAAACAGCCCTAATAATTAAAGATGGAAAGTGATAAAAATGGAAAAAAATAAATTCCGTCATCCGTATATAATGAATACAACATAAAATTGTGACGCGAGATGTAAATCTTTATAGCAATTTGTTCCATTTACATCGGGCAAAAGGGGGAGACGGACGTTGCGCGATTGCGCGTGCGAAGGCATACCAAAAAATTTCACGTCCATGTTACGGTGGCCCCCCCTATCAAAACGATCTACGACACCGTACAGACACCGTTTATTGTCATGAAAATGAGCATGATCGGTCCCACGTTGCGTGACAGGACGGCGACGAATTTCACCCGGCCGACGGCTTTTATCGAGAATGAAAGGAATTGTGTTTCTATCGAGAAAGAAAGTTCGTTGCGTCTCTTCATCCGTCGTTCAAACGAACATCGACATTCCCTTTTACGAGGGAAATTCGACCGATTGTCCGATCGAACAATCGTGAAATTTCAGAAATATATTCTCATTCTTTGATCGAGTTTCGATCGTTCGTAACTTTCTTTCTCGAAAAAAAAAAAGAAAAAAATCATCCTTGGCTTTTGAAACGAATTAAGAATATGCATACCGCGATACAAACTGGACTACTTTTTACCACTTATCCTGTAATTTGTTATTTTTAAACAACTTTCTCATCGCACGATGATTGATGGATTGATGTAGTGGAAACGATATTTCATAACTTCTGTATGTATTTTCGTATTCTTAATTTCCCTCAATTTTACGATTTGAATACATTAATATCGAATTTCGAGATCGATTTCTATAAATTATTTTTGTCGTGACATAATGAGACAGGAATCGTTTAAATAATATCGACAAGAAAGAGAACGAGAAATTTATCAGGGTACGAAAGAATAATGAATTTGAAAAAAATTAATCGATAACTTTTTATCGTAATACAAAGATTGGATGAAATAAAATTTATGATAACACGGTATAATGTCATAAATTATTGTCCATGTTAAATTGGAAGGAACATGGGAAGGAAGGAAGAAAGAAAGAGATCGATCGTCTTCTCATCTCTAAAATCTTAAAATCAATTATAACAGCGAAACGAATTAATTTCTGTCGAATAAACGTAACAACTGTGTAAACTGTACCGGATATATATGGAAAGAAATTTGCTTTTGTTTCATTTGGAAAATCCTTGGTACAAAATGAGCGTTGTCATTCCGAAATGAACGAAATTAATCAGATGACACAATCCCGTTAAACAGATGAGAAATGTAAATTTCAAGACACTCACACTGAGAAAAGAAACCTCGTTTCGATTACTCGCGTTTATTTTCGTGCACGAGAAACGAAACAGGCTTTACATAATTAGTAATTATTAATTAGAATGTTATCCAAGTTTTGACGTTAAAAATGATTGTATATTAGTTAATTATATAATAATAACGAATCGTTGAATAATTCGTTAATAAAAATTATGATAATACATCAATAAAAAGATAATATACGAGACATTCAGAAGCCGAGCTTCTAATTTCTTAATTTTATGTATGCGTGTGAAAAGGTGAAAAGAACTTAATAGTGGCTGTTAAGAGTGTTTCTTCGATTTTAGATTTCTCATAAATCTTCTGTAACGTCTTAATGAAAGAAGACGCGTTTGCAGATTTCGTCAATCTACGTTTTCAACTGTTTCAAGATGAAGATAAAATTTATTTATTTATTTATTTATTTAGAGAGAAAGAGGAAATTTGATCTGAAGTTTTATTTCCTTGTCGAATTTACATAGGGAAATAATATGAGTATACGCGCGACAAGGTCGATAATTAAGAATCACGCGTTAATTAACGGATGTCGTAACATGATCGGAATGTACGCAATAGATAATGACACGAGAAGCATACTTTCTAAAAATTAATAATGATTTATATGCGTTCTTCAAAAGTGAACGTGGATATTTCACCGTCAGATGTGAACTCAAGTATTCGTTTTATACAACCTTGCAATCTTTAAGTATTCGTAACATCGTTACATTTTACACAAACTACCTAGATGTTAAATTCTAAAAAAAAAAAAAAAAAACAATTACAGCTAATTATATTCAAACAAACGAAACGACTTTACGATTCTTTTTTTCTTTTTTTTTAGGAACGTGCAGAAACTCAAACGTCAAAAAAATTGCGAAAAGAAAGTAATTTAGAACCATTGATGGCTATCTTTGACGGTATTTTTCAAGTCGATATTTAATTTTACGAGCGATCGAAAAAGAAATTTCAGTCGTGTGAGAAACTCGTAAATTAAATATTGAGCAATATATCTTCATTCAAAATTCTTCGCTTGAAAAATGAAGACACTTGGTGAAATTCGACCCTTTAGATTCTTTTAAAATTAAGGGATGCGACTTATCGTTAAAAACAGAGAGTGTACATCGAAATCTCTGAAATAATCGTGAAGTGAAGAATAAGTGGAAGAAGAAGAAACTTTTCATATAGAAAAATGAAAAATTCATTCGTTCTTCGAAAATTTTTGTTTGATAATTTAAGAAAAGATTACCTTTATACCGGTACGGTCAAATGAAAATTCGAAGAAAAGTTGACCGAATGACCCCGCATTTCCCGAGAATCTTGCGATATCTCGAGGAAAATTATGACGAGGGAGGTTCCCAGACCGGGCGAAATCGCAGTCAAGGCTCGGTTTGAGAACGGTCGTTTCCACACAATGGTGAATCAGATAGCAGAAGTACGCGTCTGTCGCTCGAGGAAATGTCGAAACACATTTTATTCGCGAATTTAATTAATACCGAGAAGAAATTCCTCGACCCGTATTGCCAATACGACACACGGGGATCAAGCGAAACCAATAACTTTACGATCGTTCGAGAACCTTGTATAACTCGATAGAATATATTTCCTTGGAATATATTTCCGATCCGTTCTCCAATATTTGTCACATCGAATCAAATTTATAACATTACCGTAATATACTAGCTGTGTAAGCTACTTAGCATATCTCATTCGACGACGAAAACGAGCGAACTCGATTCCGATCTTCTACTCGATACACACTCGGATACATCGGAGAAAAATTTCGCAACGATATACGAGCGTCGATGATATTTTTCTTAATATCACGGTTATTATATTTTGCGAGCGAGCAAAATATATATTTCGTAATAGATTGATTAAAAATTTATCAGATGGTCGGGATATAACGAGGCGTTAGGTAGGTTAGGTCGGAAAGAATTAACAAACGTATGTTTAAAAAATATTTATAAAATCGGTTTATTGATTATGATTCGTATTTACCATGAAGGAGAACGTGTTTTGGTACTGCTCTCGTCATAATGTCTTTTGCGATGCTGCGGGGGAGTGGGGGAGGGGTGGTTAGGCTAGGACGGGATGATTGGCAGATTGAAGGGGGAAATTCATCTAGTGTCCAAAGTGTTCGTATCCTTTAAGGAAAACGGGAGTTGGCTCCTTAACGAGGACTGGTTGTTTAACGACGACTGGAACTGGCTTGGGAACTTCGACTGGATATGGTTGAGCGACTGGTACCTGAAAATAATATTTTAGAAAGCTTTCAAAATCCATCCGTCAAAAAAGAAAAGAAAAAGGAAAAAGAAAGAAGAAAGAATGATTATAATAAGAAGAGCTATCGAATGCATTGCGTTCGATTCATTTTTTTTGATTAATTGAATTATCGAGGGAAAACGATAGGAATTCATCCCTTTGACTTACCTTGACGGGGTATGGGGCAGGCACAGGCACTGGGACCTTAACCGGAACCGTGACTGGAACTGGTTTCTCGACGGGAACCGCGATCGTTTTGGTTTGTATTACTGGGTATGGTTTGGGTACCGGAACCGGCACTGGGACCGGTTGAGGGACTGCCACTGGTACCTGGAGGAAGTGTTTATTTCAATATCGAATAGATAAATATATATTCACAATGAAAATATTTAAGAGAAAGAAGAAGAGTCAACTTTTAACGGAGAATCTTCTCACCTTTACAGGGTATGGTCTGTCAACGGGGACTGGGTACGGTTTCGGGACTGGAACCGGAACAGCCACAGGCTTCTCCTGAATCGCGATCGCGACTTTTCCGTGATCCAATTCTCCACCGTAAAGGCCTTCAGCACCATAACCCAAACCATACAAACCTCGCTTTTCCACCGTTTTTTTGTCTTCCTCTGCAGCGGCCAACGCCACGGAGATCAGTATCAAGCATACCTTAAACCAATGAAAAAAAAACAATTTTTCTTTTCTTTTTTTTTTTTAGAAAGAAAGATTTATATCGATTTATATAAGAAAAGAAAATCTCTTTTTCCACCAAATTTTCACAGAAAACTGTCCGTGTTAATTACTACCGTGTCACCATTCTCGAGATCACAAGAAAAGGGAGGAAGTTTCGTATCGACGCGCAATTCAAAAGTGTGCAACGTACCAGAGACTTCATGGTAACCGGCTAATACTTTGGCTAGTGCGTCTTGACTGGTAAATTAAATTGGTTCTGTCGCATTGGAGGAAAACCACCCTTTATATAGGGAATTCACTTTCATTTCGCGCGTACACCCCGCCAATGAAAAGCCAATGGCCGTTCGGTACGCTATCGCCACACCTACCATATACTTATTATACTTTACCCACGATACAGCCACATACCGTTACACATTATAATATATAATGTACATTGGAAGTTGTATAACATACGCGAAACGTGCGCCGGTCTTGGGCTAGTAAATAGAACGCGGCCACTTTATGCAGATACATATATGTATGTGCGCATGCATTTCGACCCAACTCCGCGACTCTAACGAGGACTACCTCCGCGGCATTTCGATCCGAAGAAACGCGCGATCGTGAGATCACTCTGGATCCTTTTCCGGGTCTAGATGTATACACACATATATATATAAATTTATATAAATATAAATACGTGGCATGTGTGCCCTCATTCGAAATTTTTGTGAAAAATTTTTGTGTGAAATTCTGAAAGAAATTTTCTTCTTTTCTCTTATCGATCGTTCTTCTCTGTCGTGGAACGTCTTTGACGAAGAATCGAGGTAGAAAGGAGAGGTAAAAAGTTGAGAAAAAAGTTGAAGTAAGTAAGAAATCTGCGCAAGTGATTGAAAAAAGTAGAGAAGTCGAGAAGATTTTCAAGAGTTTCGGTTCGTCTCATTTTTTTTTTTTTTTTTTTTTTTTTCTTTTGGATACGACTCGAAAAAAAACTTAGATGACGAAGTATCGGTAGGTAAGAAGAAGAAGAAAAAAAGAGAAGGGAAGAAAAACTGCCATCTTTCGAGAGAATAGGGAACTTTGGAAAGGATCGAGCGGGTGTAATTAATTTCGTAATTAATTGCATAAATCAAAGGTGCGTATAGAAAATCGTGGAGAAATTATGCAACACGCAATTAGACAGAGAAATGAGTAGCGATTAATAACAAATAATAATTTTACTTTATTCTGTCTATTTAATTCAATAAAGTGTTGATCTTTTACGAAATTATTTCGTGAAATTAGTGATTCAGTAAACAGTATAATTATATCAAACGTCTCTTCACGATTATTAATCACATCGAGTGTATTTGCTTGATTAAACTTGAAGTTATCACAAGAGATCGATACTCCGAATATGTCATAACGTCAAGATGATTCATCGATCAGCTTCCATTATCTGGACCAAGTTAAAACGCATTTACCATTAATCCAACTTGTCCAGCAAATTTCGATTGTTATCAAGTACAATTTGTATCAATCGCGTTACAGACAGTTTAATTTAAATCCAGTTCCAGCTCGATCCAGCGCCAGCACTCGAGACACGACAATTTTATCTTCGACACGAAGTTTTAGACGTAAGTCACCGGCGGCGGCTCTGGCCCGTCATTGTTTCTTACAACAATTAGTAACATTTTACGCCGTACCCGGGCCTATTTCAAAACAACGATAAAAGAAAAGATAAAAGTTCATCACAGTTAGTGAACCGAAACTTAGAAAGCGTGACGTAATATAAACGTATCGAACACCTAACTTGCCCGATTAAGAAGAAAACGTGTGGCTATTATCGGTCACGATCTCGTCGATTTGCACCGCAAATCGCCGTTTCACAAGCAATTCCTTCGACGCAAATCTGTCAATCTACATCTTGCTGGCTATGCAAATAATCCTACCCACTATTCACTTTTTTTCCTCTTCCTTTTTTTTTTTTTTTCGTTCCCTCTCGAGGACATTTCTTGATTCAATCGACGAATCGTTTGCAAAAGAATGTATCGTTTTTTCTTCTTCTTTTTTTTTTTTTATTTCCAATCAATTTCTCGCAAAAATGGATCGCAAGTGATATTTCTACTATTCGATCGATTCGATATTCCTTGGTATTTACGTAATACAGTTCCAGTAGCGGCGCAACATTTTAACAAACTAATTTATTTAACGAGAATTTAATTCGGAATATATATATATATATATCGATCTTTCGTGTCCCGAAAGGGAAATCTATCCCGCGGTTGCGCGATAGGGACACGTTCCTTATTACAAAATTCTTCGCATAGCCGGGTCTCCCGTGACTCACGCCTGTCGATATAGCGAATTCCTCCTAAGCCTTGGAACAAGCACCCTCGATATTACGTGTTACACATATGAAATCAATGGCTATTATGTAGCCGATTATCTTTCTTTCGGGATCAATTGTACATTAATTTGCGTATCCGTTTATTTTTCCTTCGTATCGTTTCCGCGTCGATGTAATGCATGCACGATTTGGATATATCGATATGTGTATATATATATATATATATCCAGGTTATATATAAGGTTCTCGTGCACCTTATTTCGCGTTCAACATTTCCTGCATCTGTGTGTCCAACTTGCACACGCAACGAATGCATTCACGGATCGATCGATCGATAGAAAAACGAGTTTGAGATTTCAATATCGGACAAGTCCCGTTGACGTCACACGTGCATATGCCTGCTTACTGACCTCTCTCGAGTCGTGCCTCCAACAACACCTTCCTCCGTTTCCGATCAGAAAATATTGAGCTGGATCGAGATATTGCGAGATACATCGAGAGAGAGAGAGAGAGAATGAAAAAATTCTGAAAGCTTCGATCGTGAATTGATCAGTCTCAGTTTCTGCAATTCTTTGATCCTTCAGTTCTATATTCTTTTGTATAAATTAAAATTTTATTAATAGATCGTTAGTTTCATGAAAAAATTAAGAAAAAAAACTCAACGAGATTGATAAAGAGACTCAAGGATCATACGACGTTTCTTTGTTGTTTCTTTAAATCTATCTGGACAATTTTCATTTAAGTCGGTTGAAATTTTATTAAATTATATTTGCATTATCCCGTGTGACGACTATACAATTACAATTTTTGTAACCAGACGAAATTACGTAGCATTACTATCATTAATTCGTATTGAAATACGGTCGTCTAATTACACACAGAGTTGCACACAGCCTCCTGTTTCCTCCGCGTTGTGTCATTTCGTGATCGCTGTGGTCGCAATCCCTTGTAACTGTTCAACCAGTTTTGAAATTGCTATAAAATTAACGATCTCAACGATTATCCGGTGTCACGGATTAAGTAACGTTTATTTTTATTCTCCTCCATTTGCGTGCACCAGCTTTCGGCTAGTCGCGGGGCAACGAATTGAAAACCGGAATATTAAACGTACACGTAAGTCGATCCACGCCACTGATACGCTTCCTCGATGTTTATTAAACGTGTCGTCGCGAGTTGTTGTCTCATCTTCCCTTTAATTTTCTGTACGATCGATATACTTGTTGTATTTATTTTCTTTTTTTTTTTTTTTTTCGAAGAAATAGAGAGAAATTTAAGGCAAGATACGAAATACGGCGGGGTTTAAAGTGGATAAAAGGATGGATTCCTTGTTGATCCTTTTTTTCAGCTCTCACTTTCCGCCGGTGGTACACCCGGGTGAAAACCGTGCCGTGTTGCTATCAAGATCCGCCTTACGTAAGCGAAAGAAACATGCTAGCAAACTTGGATTAGGGCTTCATAAGCATTTATCAGCAACAGGCTGTATCCAAGTTACAGGAATAATCTTTGCCTCGTGTTCCTTTGCGTAGAAACGTCCTTCTCTGAAGAATAAATGGAAAAGAATTAACATATAGATAACAGTTGTACGTTAAGAAACGAGTAATTTTGACATGTGTCACTTTGTTATATCATGATGAGTTTCAAAAGTGGTTTCTGCGAAACTGGTTCTAATTACATCATTTAGATTTAGTTAGAAATTGTGGTGAAAGTCGAAAAAGTCTATTGACAAATTTTAGATAGTGTCTGATAATTCTTTCGTCAATTTAGGTAACCAACTTTCTCTTGGAAAACAGAGGCAAGCGAATTTTCAATTTTCATATTTAATAAATAATTCTCACTTTATGCGATCAATCATTTCTTCATTTCAAACATCTTTGAAGAAAGATATGTATACGTAAGAGCATAGTCTTATATATATATTTTTTTTTTAATAAAATAATAATATCGTGAGAGAAATGGTAAACGAGAGACGACAAAACACTTTGACGTAATTGCACCGTTAGAGTACGGTACGTGATACACGATACGTGAGAAATTTTATCGGGAGCGTACACGCCCATTTCAATAGGCCGTCGAAACATTCGGGCAACGTATATATAAATGAGATGCAATTCACGTGCAGAAACGGATTTACGTTAGTCATAGACTATTACATCAGTGATTTAACGAGTTGGCTACCTTAGCAATTACAATTGCCATAAAGCAAATCTGATCGAGCATTATTCAATATGGCAAACGGCCATATTGAACTTTCAACGAGGTGACGGTTAAGATGCAAATATATAGCTATAGATAAAAATTGATATTACAGATATTGATAATCAATTGAATCTTGATTTTATTGACGGTCAACGCATTTACGAAAAACTATTCTTGAAATCAATTTTTGAAAATTTTAATCTCAAATCTATTCGTGTTTTAAAAAATATAAAATTCAATCAATATACAACAGCATATATAATATATAAGATAAATTATCTTTATATGGTTTATAATAGATTACTATTCATGCAAAATCACAAATAATACTTCTATTTTTTTTATATACAAAACGTGGAAAGAAACTAAAAGTGTTGTCATCAATATTCAAGAAATAAAATAAACTATACAATTTACAATCAGTTGTTGAGATGTAAAGATTCAAATTTTTCATAATATACAATGCAGAAATCATGAACGAGTTCAGTGATTTATATTTTTTTCTGAAAATGCGTTCTTCTAGGAATTTTCTATGTTTTTTTAGATCTGTCAATCATCCGAAGTTGGGATAGATCAGTGCGAGCGAGAAATTCGATTAAAGACAAGGATAGAAATAGTAAATGATTAAAAATTATTCTTTTTTTACACAACGATATCTCGGGAATCGGAAGTCGCATCGATAAGAATCAAAAACC